GCGGCTCTTTGGCCTCTTGAGAGTGTGGCTCTTCCACAAAATACCACGGCCTGGGCAAGTCTACGTTGAAGACGTGGCGTTAGAAGAAGTTTAAGTTTAAAAAATGTGGCTCTCCAAAGAAATTGCAATCGTGGTACTGTTGCTATTTGGCTCTGTGGACGAATGAGTTTGCCGACCACTGCCCCAGAGGCTGAGGCCTGCACGCCCAGCTTGGCCCTGGCAGATTTGGGCTAATTCTCAGCAGCTGCCGACACTGCGAGCATCAACTAAGGCCTGGTGTGCCTCCCCACCATTCACGCCCCCAGGAAAGGGCACGGGGCAGCATTCCCCAGCTGCCCGGGTCTCCCGGTTGGTGGACAGGACGCGGGGGGCTGGCTGACGCTTCTGGTGTGCCGCACCGAACACCGTGTGTCTCCTGGTGCTGAAAAGGGAGACCTGCTTGTTGGCAGGGCCCTTTCCCATGCGGGTTCCTATTTGACCCCCTAGCCCCTCTGAGTGATACCTTCCATTGCTTCTGTGAAGATTCTTGGGTTTCAAGCGAAACACCCCCAGGAAGGGACAGCACCTCCAACTGTTACTGGCTCACACCTCCGTGGTAGTTGGCAGGGAGCTGAGAATCAGGCCAGAGAAGCCGGAAACAGGCCTGGGAGGGTCCAGAGGAGAAAGCAGCCTGAGGCGGGAGGCCAGGCACTGCAGGCCCCGCCCAGCAGCCCACCTCCAGGTGCTGCAGAGAGAGGTTCCGGGCAGACCATTCATTCCCTGCTTCCCTCACCACCAGAAACACCAAGGCACCCCACAAAGCCCACGGCAGGGCAGCCTGGGAGGGAGAATGACAGCAGAGGGGAGAAGAAGAGGTGGAATAAACCGACCATACGAGGCTCTTCGATCTTAATTCATTTTATTCTACAAAATGCTACTCAATTGAAAGTGGAAAAGCTAACAAAAAAAAACAAAAAAAAAAAAAAAAAAACAAAAAAAAAAAAAGCAAAGGGGGAAAAAAGTCTCAATATGTTCTTTCTTCCACAGCAGCAAGCTTTTTCTAACAAGCTTCTTTAGTGCAAATACTGGAGGCTTGTCTTACAGTAAAGGAACGAAACGAGGACAAGAACACCGCCAGGGATGCTTCGGAGCAGATACACGCCTCCATTTTCAGAACCGTACAAAGACCGTGGCACTCACGGTCCTGCCCAGAGCGGCCCATGGGGAGCCGCTCCCCTGGGACCATCTCCCAGAGGAAAAGGGATGCTGGGCCGGTGCTCAGGTTCCCATGAGGCTATGAGGATCTGCACAGGTGGTTCCCTCCGGGATCGGAGAGCAGCACGTCGTCAACATCTCAAATAGGGACACACCACACTCCCCACTTCCCACTGTACACCGGAATATATATATATATGTACATCTCCCACTCCCGACACCTACTCTGTGTACAAAAGTGAAGGTTTTCTCCCTCGACAGCAAGTAACCACAAACTGAAATAACTGGAATAGACGTTTAATCGTACGGAGACAATAGTTTTTAGGGGACGGGGCAGGATCTTTTGTTGTGTTCTCTCCCGATGTAGACTTGTTGGGGCGGGAACCACTGACCCCAGAGGAGTGACAATTCATCTTTTTAAAAAAACAGAACCTTTTTATACAGTTTATATAGCGCAAGTCACAAATCATTTCAGAAACAAATAAACAAAAAGCATCATTAGCCTAATTTAAAAAAAAAAAATAAGAAAGAGAGGGAGAGAGGAACCGAGTACTTTAATGCTATCTGTTTCTATTCAGGCTTGGTACAGCACAAAAGATGTAAACATTTAAAATAAATAATAAAATAAACGTCCGTTTCTTCTCCCCCTCCTCTTCCCACACCCTCCTCAAAAACTTAACCCCGCTCCTCCTGTACGTGTGAGCCCTGGAAAATTTAAAACCCTTTGCTGATGTCTGGCCAAAGCACTAGAAGCAGGAGGAGAATGTCCAATGAACGGTGGGCTGACTGGGTTTCCTTTGGAAAGCTGCAGGAGGACACGGGCACACCTGGAAATGTACGCACACACACGCACACGCACACACTCACATACACATGTGCACATACACACACTCACACGCACATACCCCAACCTGTTAATAAATAGTGAGATGCTGGCTTTGAAGATAAATGCCAAAAAGACTCCACAAGCAGAAAAGTAGCAAGACCCATTTACTTACATTTTTTTTTTAAAAGCAAGTTATACATACCCTATTGGTCCACAAAATCTATAAGGACTCAGGTTACCCCTCTGGCCGTCTGAGGAGTGAGAAGGGGCACATCACAAGAGAGAGAGAAGAGGAGCCTTAGAGGCGGGAGGATCGGGCCAGGGACGGGTCTTCGGGAGTAAGCCTCAGGCCGAAGACGATCTCGCCTTGGCTTTTGGAAGGAAGACCTCCTCGTCTCCAGCTTTTTGTTTATCCGTTGCTTGGGGATCTTTACGAAGGCGTGTCCTCATTCCTTCGTCTCGTCTGAAAGAGGGTATTACTTAAAAGTGCCTAATACAGTGCCTGGCACAGAGTAGGTGCTAATTCTTTTCCTTCTTAAAGGGACCTCACAGATGTCTGGTCAGGAAGGAAATCAACCTGAAGGTTAAATGGGGGGAAGGGGAGGCTGCCAGGGGCACGGTTGGTCCATCGAGGGGCAGAGAAGTCCCCATGCATGTGGAGCCGAGCCCACCCTCACACTCAGAGGCACGTGGGAGCAGAGGACACTCCTTTCCCCAAAGCCTGAGGCAGGCAGGCAGCAGCAGCCTCTAATAGCTCTTGGCTTGGAGACACTGGTCTGACCGGCCAGCGGACACCCTGGCCTTGCACATAGGCAGAACAATGGCGTCTTTCTGGAAACCTCCCCGGTGAGTTAATGCTCTGCGTAGAGCTGGCTCCGGCGATTTCCTAAGCTTCACCTGGGACCTCCTCTCCTTCCTGTGTCAGCAGCTGTCCCCGTCCCCCGGCCAGGAGCACAGTTCCCAGCAAGGCCGGCCAGGTGGCCAAGGCCGTGCTCACGCTTGCTTGTCAGATGCCTGCCCTGAGCGGTCCCAGGGCTGCCAGCAGCCCAGCGGGAGCCCCGCCAGCTGCCTCCCTGCTGGGGACACGGGGGCAGCACGGCGATCCCAGCCCCCGTGCAAAGACCCCACAGCAGCTGTTCCCGTAGCGGGAGCCCTGTAGCGGGCCTGCTGTCTGGTGATTCTGGAGCACGGGGGTGTGTGTGCATGAACTTGGAGAACAAGCCAGAGGAAGCACCTGAGGATGGGCTCCCAAAAGGTGCCACAGCCTCCTTCCCCCCAGACCTCCCAGCCGCCTCCTGGAACAGGGCGAGGGCCCCGGATGGGATGCAGCCCGAGGCTCCGGAGGGCCTGGGGCTTTGCCTGCTGCTGGTCCCTAAGCCAACACAGCTGGAAACCTGCACGGAAGCCAAACTCCATCTCAGGAATGTCCAGCCCGGCCCGAAGTCACAGACTGCGGCCTGCCTTGGGGTCAGAGCTGTGCAAACTGGGGCATAAGGGGCTCTGAGAAATGAAGCACTAGAAAGCAGCGAGAGAGAGAGAGAGAGAGAGAGAGAGAGAGAGAGAGAGAGAGAGAAAGAGCTCCCACTGGCCACGAACACCAGCTCAGATGATGACGCTCCTCCGAGCTGGCCTTCCCCTGGCCGGCTTCTTCTCTGATTAGCCTGAAGGCGGAAACCCTCCTGCCCCTTCTAATTAGGCACACCCGTCCCAGAGCCTCCGGACCTGGAGGGCAGCGTCACAGCCAAGGGAGGTGGGAAACGACGTTTGCAAAGTGGGCCCAGAAAACATCCCTTTTCCCCTTCCGCACGTGGCCTGCAGGCCCGGCGGGCTGCCTATTCGAAGCACACACCATCCCACTCTCGTGTCTAGTAGGTGACAGACACGAAACGGACCCGCACAGAGGCCCAGGTGTGAGAAGGAGCAGGTGTGCTCCAAGGGCCACTGCCCTCTCCCTCCTTTGACCCCCTCCCCACTGGGTTTGATTTAAATAACAGCGACATCGTTTAAATTATCATACAATTATCTCCAGAGCTGGGCCAGGACGGCCAAAGAGGCTGTGAGAAGAAGGCGGAAAGGGTGGGAGGCCGGGGCCGCGCGGAGCTTTGCTCTGATTCAGGGCCAGAAGGAGCTCCCCACTCCTCCCGCGGTGGGAAGGGGGGCAGCTGTCTGGCAGTGAGAGCATCTCATCTCATCTCCCATCTCAGCGGCCCCCGGGGAATGGTGCACAAGCCTTAAGCCGTAGCAACCGACCGCTCTGGGCTGGCCGTAGGACCCGAGGAGCACACTGGGGGGAGGGGGGTGGGGAGTCTAAAGAGAAAGCACTCGACTCATCCACTGGCCACGGGCACTTCAGAGAGATGAGCAGCCAGGACAGGGCAAGCGGGGTTCCCGGGGCGGCCGCCGCCTCCCTCCCCTGCCTTCCATCCAAGGCGCAGGTGCCTTTGAAGCGTGGGGAGGGGCCACCTGCAGCCACCTGGGGAGGGTCCAGGCCCAAGCTCATTAAATCTCTGTGGGTGGCGTCACCCCGAGAGCCAGGGCGGGGAGGGCAGAGCCGCTGGGGCGAGGAGTGAGTGACGTGTGGCTCCGAGGGAGGGACCCCTCCCCGGTCGGCAGAGAAGAAGGGTCCAGGGGCAGAGACGCGAGGCGGTAATTACAGGAGACGTCCTGCTCCAGACACCAGGTGAAGGAGGACGCTCGTTGGCACGATTCCTGGCCTGTTCACGAGGCATTTGGCAAACACAACCTGCGCCCTGGCTGCCTCCCTCACATCCCGTCTTCTGGCTAAGCCGCTGCGCGGAGAGCCGAGGGAGACATCTCCGATGGTGGGGGGAAGGTCCTGGGCCTCCCCGGGGCCCGTGGAGCTGGGCGGGGCCTCGGGGGATGGCGGTGTCTGGGAGTGTCGGGGGAGGAAGGTTCTGTATTGCACATCGTCCCCTCTGGACAAGGCCGCCCCGGCCGAAGAGCCACCTGCTGCCACGTCTCCAGAAATGAAGTTTTAATAGTTAGACCACCCAGATGAAATGTCATGGCCAGTCTGATGAGAACCGAGAGGAAGTGGAGTTGACACTGGCGGGAGGGGGTGGGGGGCAGAAGTGGCACACCGAGGGAAGGTGACACCGGAAGGCCACGGGCATGGGAGGGCACCGTCACTCCGGAGACAGGAATGGTCCACACCAGCTTCAGAGAGATGCCCGAGCCCGCTCAGTTCTCCGAGGCGCTTCAAGAAACAGGATTTGCGTTGCCAGGTGGACGAGGGAGGAGGTTTCGGGACTTCTCGGGGGCCACCCAGGCTGGTCCTCCGGCGCCTCATGCCCGTGCCTCCTCGGTCCCCGAGCCAGGAAGCTCGCTGGCCAGGCCCCGTGTGCCCTCGCAGCCCCGGGCGCTGGAAGGAGCTGATCCCCGGGGAGGAGGCAGAGGCGGAGGCGGCGAGGACCCCTGGGGCCGCCGGTTACAGGGCCAGCAGGGTGGGGGAGTTCAAGGAGTCCGAGGACTGGTCCCCACTGCTGCTGCTCCTGCGGTGCGCCTTGGAGCAGGACTCGGAGGGCGAGGCGGGCGACTCCTGCTCCAGCACGCTGGGGTAGGTGAAGACGAGGTTCGAGGTGCCCGGAGTGATGGCGGGCGTGGAGGTCACCACGATGGGGGTGTGCAGGGGCTCCTCCCCGTAGAAGCCCCCGGCGATGCTGATGGGCTTGATGACGGAGCGCTGGCCCTTGTCCAGCCCCGCTGCCGCGGACGAGGGGCTGTCCTCTTCCAGGGGCTCCTGCTTCACCACCACGGCGCCCCCGCCGCCCCCGCGCAGGGTCTGCAGCCCGGAGGCCGGGGGCGACCGGCGCTCCTCGGGGCTGATCTTGCACACGGGCCCGTGGGCCACCAGCATGAACTCCAGCTTCTCCTTCTCCTTCTGCAGCTCGGCGATCTCCTTCTGCAGGCCCGACTTCTCCTCCTCCAGCTCCTCCGTCTCCTGCGGGGGAGAGAGGGGGCTGTCAGGGGCTGCTCCAACCTGCCGGGACCAGCTCAGAGCAGGCCGTGCAAATCCAGGCGCGAGCCGAAACTGGTTTGGCTCAGTGGACAGAGCGTCGGCCTGCGGACTGAAAGGTCCCAGGTTCGATTCCGGTCAAGGGCATGTACCTTGGTTGTGGGCACATCCCCAGTAGGGGGTGTGCAGGAGGCAGCGGATCGATGATTCTCTCTCATCGATGTTTCTCTCTACTTCTCTCTCTTCCTCTCTGTAAAAAAAAAAAAAATCAATAAAATATATTTAAAAAACAAATCCGGGCACGAAAGGAAACCCAGCCATGTCCTCAGAGGACTGATAGTGGGAGCAGCCAGTGCACCCCGGGCTGCAGACCCCGTTGCTGCTGCTGAGTCACCTGGAGGCTCAAGGTTCCCTTTACTTCCAAAGCGCCAGCCTGAGGAAGGAGGCAGACAGCCCGAAGGAAAGGTGAAAGGTCACCGGGCATGGCCATGACTGAGCGACCGAGCGCGTGCGTGGTGCCAGGCACAGAGAGGAGCGTTTCAGAGGCCTTTTCTCACCCCATCCTCTAGCAGTTTTCTGAAGCAGGTTATTATCCTCAACCCACTCTGCAGGCGAGGGGACAGGTTCAGAGAGGTGTAGCCGTTTGCCCAGAGTCACAGAGCCAACAGGTAGGGAGCCTGGACTTGACCCCAATGCATCTGCCTCCAGAGCCCAGAGCCTGCGGAGCACACACCGAACTCCAGGCAGGAGGACAGCACCGGAGCCCAGGGCACGGCCCGGCTCGCGGCCGGGTCCTCGCAGCCCCTCCTCCCCTTTTCGCTCGGACTTCAGAGAACCTGCCGGGCACTCAGGTCAGCCCCCCTGTGTGGCGGGTGAGGAGCCTGGCAGCCGGGCAGGCACCTGAGGATGGCGGGGTCCACCTGCAGGGACCTCAGCCCCTCCGTCCACACAAAGCCAAAGCAGCAGCACACGCACACGCACACGCACACGCACACGCACACGCACACGCACACACGGAGGGGTAGTCATGGCAGCCGAGAAGGTGTGTGTCAACGGCCTCCTCCCACTTTTCCCCGCACACGGGTTCCCGTTTGAGCACGAGGCAAACGGGGCCGGAGCGTCACCGAACGGAGCACACGCAGCCTATTCCGGAGTGAAAAAAGTTTCCATCTGTCTCAAGGGTCTGACACACGTCACGAGCCTCTGAGAGGTTTCCTGTGGAGGATGTGGCTCAGGGGCCTGGGTGGCTGGGCCGGGGGTGGGGAGGCGGGGGAGCGGGGTGTGTGGTAAGGAGCGCCCGGCGTAGACCCAGAGGGCCTGCCTCCTTGGGTGGCTGGCAGAGAAGAGGGCTCTCCCGGGAGGGGAGGTCCCCGCAAGGAGTGCTGGCCCCTCGTGGACCCGCCTCACGTGGCGACAGAAAACTCCCCCTCACCCGCCCGACTTTAAGGAACACCTCCAGGGGGCGTTAGTACAGGCATCACAGAACCCACGAGGGGCACATGCGGTACCCAGGCGCGAGGGCCCCAGGGTGGGCAAGAGGAGCTGGAGCAGGTGCCAGGCACCGAGGGGAACGTTTCAGAGGCCTTTTCTCGTCCCATCCTCTAGTAGTTTTCTGAAGCAGATATGATCCTCAACCCACTCTGCAGGCGAGGGGACAGGTTCAGAGAGGTGTAGCCGTTTGCCCAATGGTACCCGGGAGGATTACGTAAGGTGATGGGATGCACAGGTCACGGGTGATTTCCAAAGCCCCACCCTGGCGGGGCTCTGTAAGGACCACTGACAGGGTCTCCCGCATCTCCTCCCTGAGAAACACTTCGCCCGGAAGAGCCTGTCCCAGCTGGGGGCTTCCCCACGTGGCGGACGGCCCATCCGGTGGAGCAGGCTCTGAGTGAGTTGAGTGACATCGATCAGTCAAACTTCGGGGCAGCGCCACAAGCTCCCAGGTGTGGGCAACGAGGTGGCAGGGGAGAGGGACTCCCGAGGGCATCAAGACCCGACAGCAGGTGTCCCCGGCCCCAAACCAGCCACTTGTGCGAGTGGGGCCACTCCTGCTGGCAGGCGGCATGGGGGAGGCTGGGAGCTTGGGAGGCAGCCCTGGCAGGGGCAGGTCTAGGCCTGCCTTGGCTCCTGGGGCCTGGCAGTGCCCACACAGTCTGCCGTCCCTCACCCGGGAGCCCCGGCAGGTCTGAGGGCAGGGGACACTCGGACTGAGTGAGGAAGGGCCTGGGGCCCACTGAGCGGGCCAGCTCTTCTCTCCCGGGCCCAGGCTGGTGCCAGAGGCCAGCTCCCTCCGTCCCGCTCCCTCTAACCAGGCCAGAGCTACCAACAGGCACAAAGGAAGGACTGTGCATCGCCACGAACCCATCTGCAGGCGGCCACTAGTGGGCAGGAGAAGGTGGGAGGCCAGGAGCCTGGGGCCCCGTGCAGCCCACCCGGAGGTACCCCCTCCCCAGGCAGATGTCTCACCGCCTGCAGCTTCTCCGTCAGCTCCCGCCGGCGGTTCCGGCACTTGGCAGCGGCCAGCTTGTTCCTTTCCCTCCGGATTCGACGCTTTTCCTCTTCTTCAGGAGACAGCTAGAGGCAAGGCAGAGGTCCCGGTTAGGTTCAGGGACAGTCCCCAGCTTTTGAGGTTTTTCGTTTCTTTTTAGCTGCATTTTTTTTAATATATTTTATTGATTTTTTACAGAGAGGAAGGGAGAGGGATAGAGAGTTAGAAACATCGATGAGAAACATCGATCAGCTGCCTCCTGCACACCCCCCACCAGGGATGTGCCCACAACCAAGGTACATGCCCTTGACCGGAATTGAACCTGGGACCTTTCAGCTCACAGGTCGACACTCTATCCACTGAGCCAAACCGGTTTTGCCTTTAGCTGCATCTGAAGCAGGGCAGGAAGCCCCTCTGGGACTGGGGAGAGAGGCGGAAAGGCTGGAGGAGCTCAGCCAGGCTCAGAGGTCACTCAGGGCTGCACCCACCTATAGGTGAGGGCCCACGTGCCCAAGGGGAACAGGGCAGCCATGGGTCAGGGACGCGGCCCAGGCATGATGGCAGCAGCATCTGTCATGTCAGCCCGGTCCTGTGCCAAGGCCAGCGAGAGGAGGGAGCCGGCTGCTTCCCCCAGGGAGTCCCCTCGTGCCAGCCAAGGCCCGGCCCCACCCACTAAAGCAGCTTCTTCCAAACCCGGGCTAATTACCCCTCCCCACCGCCCGCCCGCCTGCTCTGCAAGCCTCATTATCCCCATTTGGCTAAGTGGCTGGGCCCCGAGGAAGAGCCACCCTGCAGGTTGGGGGGGAGGGGGGAGGATGGTCTGTTGCCAGAGGGAGGATGCCACCCCACTCCCCACTTCCTCTGCCAGCTGCTCTCGGTTCAACCCGAGGACCCGGCCCTGCCTGGCACACGCCTCGAGGCGGGACATGATGGGCCAGAGGAGGAGGAGCCTCAGGCCCCTCAGCTCCCCCTGCCCACCACATCCGCTCACTCAGCAAGCAAGCACCTTCTGAATGCCAGGCACGGTCTGGGGGGTGAGCAAGCCTCCCCGCAGAGCTCAGCCCGGCTCCTTACAACGAGGCTGGTGAGGGGCCGTGACTCATGCCACAGGGCAAGCCCTCTGCTCCACTCAGCAGTGCTGACACAGCGCCCATCCAGCGCTCTGTCCCAATGCCCTGCAGGCGGAGGTGACACAGGACATGGCTGCGGGCCAAGGCAGGCAGCAATTCAAAAGGGAAGACCTTCACGTGTGGTTATCCCACACGGACGGCACACTCAAGCGCAGCCCTGGGGGCTTAGGAGACTCTGAGGGCCTCAGACCTGAGTCTCACTCTCTCGGGGCACTTGGGTAAGAAAGCCGAACACACTCTTGGAGGGAAGGGGAGAGGCGCTGCCCTCCCTGAGGGGTGCTCCGGGCTACCCTGGGAGGAGGGTAGGCCCCTGGGACGCTCCCTGAACCCCCAGCTCAGTTGCTGTGCTGTGTTTTGCTGTTCAGGGGGTTCTGGAACAGCAAAGCAGGGCACAGCCTCAGAGAAGACGCACCCACCCCTGTGGACACTGAGGTGACCCTGTGGCCCCACGCTGGCTGCCCGAGCCCTGTATCCAAATTCTCCAAACACTGGCATGGAAACATGCCAATTACTGCCCAGACACAGACAAGCTCTTCACACCTTCTCAGCTTTCAAGTCCTTCCCAGCAGGCCAGACACAGGGCCCAGAGGGAGGTGGGGGCCGGGGAGATTGCCAGGGCCTCCCAGCCGTCAGGTCCCTGCCTCCCGGGCTCTGAGGGGGCCCGAGTGCCTACCCATCTGTGTCTGCCCTGGGACCCCTTCCCTCCCAGAATGGCAGACCACACTCCTTCAGCTCCCCTGCCGCTCCCTCCTCCCGGGTGGAGACCCAGGCCAGTCCCTCTCTCACCAGCTCCTTCCTCACCAAGTCCCTCAGCCCCGCAGCGGCTGCCAGGTGGGGTGATGCACCAAGCAGTCCAGCAGGTAGCATCCCTAGGAGTCCTCAGGCCCCTTCCTAAAACCTGACCCCACAGCCGAGTCCCACCTCCACTCCCCTCAAGTCCCGGCCTCCGTCCCAGCCTCTGAAACCCTGTGTTCCCCCCCGAGAGAGCCACGGGCTCCCTACCCTCTCTCCTAGGAGGTATCAGGCCAGCGGGGAGCAGAACCCAGCCACGGCCTTTCTGTTCTGTGTGGCCTGGGACAAACCGCTGGACCTCCTGAGCCTCGGGCTTCCCATCTGTAAAACGGGGTCCGCAGGACCTGTCCTGCCTTCCACCGAGTCTGTGGGGATCCGATGAGATGCAGTGTGTGGATCCTCTAACTAGGGAGCGCCAGGAAGAAGATGCGATCCCGAGGTCCCCTCTCTCATGCTTTTTCTGAGTCCCAGGAGAGTCAGCGTGGACCGGACACCCAGAGGCCAGGGACCCGGACACCCTGCCCTGTGCGGGGCCAGCGCCTGGCTGACATCCTGAGGCCGCTCTGCCGAGGCCCCGAATTCTTGCTGCTCCTCAGCTTGTCTCCCCCTGAGCCCACAGCTCCCAGGATAACCCCCTGGCCCTGCTGCAGGCCTGGGCTCAGGCTCCCCCCTCAGGCTCCCCTGCCCACCCCTCCCCCGCACGGATGGAAGGCGGGATGGTCCACGTGGGCCTCCCTTCCCCCCTGGCTGCTTCGGGACCACCTGGGCCTCGCCATTGGCCTAGGCGTCTCTTTCCTATCTGCTGTGGTCTGGGGCGGGCAACTTTGTGGGAGCTGTGGGCATAGGAAACGTTCAGGGGCGGTGACATCAACAGGGTTGCAGCTTGAGTGTGTCAGCACTACCGGGTATCCACCCACAAGCCACACACACCCTCCCCTCCCTGTCTCCTCAGTCTGTCACCGCCCTGGGCTCAGAGGGAGCCTTGGGCAGGCCGGAGGAGGGAAGGGAGGCACCAGGCTGGCTCCTGTGGCGGCCCCTCCCCCGGGGTGGGGGCGGGGGGGGGGGGGGGGGGAGGTCAGGAAGGCAGAGGCAAGTTTCAGGGAAAAGACCCGAGGGCTCGGAGCCACCGAGAGCCAAGGCTGAGGATGCCACCGCCCAGGCTTCGCCCGGGTTTCCTCCAAGCTGCCTCCAAGCTGCCGGATGATTGTCTGAACTCCTAATTGACAATGACATGAAACAAAAAACGCTCCTGGCTCTCTCCCTCCCTCTCAAAAAAAAGGAAGGAAATTTCCCAGACAGATTGTCTTAGGGCACGCCTCCATGGTGCAGCGGGGAAACCACAGGGCTGGAGGTCAAGGGAGGTGGATGCCAGTCCCGGCTCTGCACTCACTTAACTGTGTGACCCTGGGCCAAGGCCCTTTTCCTTTCTGGGCCTCAGTTTCCTCATCTGTAAAATGGGCAAAGAGGGAACGTGTTGTGTTTTGTTTTGTTGTTTTTTTTAAAAAAAAGCTGGTCTCCAAAATCCCTTCCGGGCATCAACTTCTAAATCTGGGGTGAGCTGAGCCCAGATAAGGGTGAAGAGAGTTCGGTGCATCTGGCTTTGCCCCGAAGCGTCCCCCTCACAAGCCTGGCTGTCCCTCGGGAGTCGCACACAGGGAGAACCCAGCTCCCCGGGGACTGCAGAGCTCCTGGAGGAAGCACGCTTATAGAAGACACGAGGACCGCTGCTACTGCGTTATCTGCTAATGCAGTTATGGAGGCAACGGCGAGGGGAATCCCGGCCACTTACCTCCCCACCCACCCCAGCAGAAGCCCAACAGCAACTGGGAGCTGTGTCGCTTCAGCATCTCTTACACACCCCTCCCAGGCCCCCCTCTCGGGTCCTGCTGCGAGCAGAACAAGCCAGCACACAGCGGATACAGGGCCCAGCTCTGTCCTAGAGGAGCAGGGCCCCTGCAGAAGCTTCCGGCTCCTTGGAGGGCGGCCCTTGTAATTCCAAGTATCTGAACTGGGAACTCCTGGCCCCGGGTCACCATCACCCAGAGGACCGTGGTGACAGGTCCTCATCCTGGAGCACCGGGGAGCGGAGGGCCCCCGAGGGGAGGGCCTCTCCAGGTAAACACTGTATTTGGAAAAGGGGTTCCCCCACCATAGCGTGTCCTCTTCGCCGGACTCCTGGTGGCGTGAGGCTTCAGATCACTGCGCAGGAAGCCCCGGGCCCCGGGCCCCGGGTTCTAGTCCAGGCTCCTCCCGCATTGCTGAGTGGCCCAGCAGGGCTGTCTGAGCTTCGGTCGGGTCATCGGGGAAGGGGTGCTCCGTTCTGGAATTAGGCATGATTCTGGGGGCTCCCTCTGGAATCAGGGGGCCTGGGTTGTGCCTGGCTCCCTGGTGATGGGCACACGGGGCCTTCTGGGTGTCGGGTGGACGCTGACTAGAGAGCAGAGGCCCCACCGTTTTCCGGTTCCTCCCAGCCAGCTGGTTCCTCCACGCTGAGCCCCTTGAGGAACACAAGGCTGCTGCCTGCCCTCCACCTGTCCCGCCTGAGTCAGCTGAGGCAGCTGGGCAGGCCCCAAGGACCCCAGTCCTGCCCCGGGAACACTCATCCCCGCACTCATCCTGCTTAAGCGGAGGCCAAGGACACCTCGGTGGGAGGCAGGTAAAGCTCTGTGGGCGGATCCGCCCTAGAGCGCCACCCTTAGGGTCAGCCGGGCGGCTTGCCTGCACCAGACACCGGGAGATAGTTCAGGGCTAATCCCGAGAAGCTGGCCAGGGTGCGCTGGCTGCTTGTCCTGTGGCCACTCTGCCAAGGACCAAGAAGGACACTGCTGCAGGCAGGCCCAACAGTCCTTCCCATTTGCCGACCCCTCACCACTTCCAGGGTGTTTCCCGGGCCGCATTCGAACGGCAACAAGCCTTGGCTGGCAGGTGCCCTGACCCCCTCCTGCAGCCAGAGATCCTAAGGGACGTGGGAGGTGACAGAGCCGGCCCTGACCTCAGGTCTCCACCTGGCCTCCATGGTGGAAATCCTGTGCTCCCGGCCCCTCATTCTCTCTCCTCCCGGTGACCCCGGAACCCTGACCCAGCTCCCCACCAGGCTGCAAAACGGCACACGGTGTCACGAGGCCCCGAGAGCCCCCGGCGTGGCTTTTCCACGCCGATCGGCGAGCTGTACCTGCTCATCTCTCCTCCTGCGGCCCACGGTGGTGCCGATGGTCTTGATGACGCCGGGCCTCGGGAGGGCCATGTGCCCGGGGACAGAGGCCAGGCCCGGCAGGGGGCTGTAGGGGTGCGAGCGGGGGTACGGGTTGGACATGGAGGTGATCACCGTGGGCTGCACCATCCACTGCAGGTCCTGGCTGGTCGTGATGGCGTTGATGGTGGGGATGAAGGCGCTGCCGGAGCCAGGCATATCTACCCGGAATTTCTGAAATGAGAAAAAACAGGACTGAGCCCGGGAGTGCCGAGCAGGACAGGACATGCAGAGACAAGAGGCGAACGCCAGCAGGAAGCAGGGCCAATGCTGGGGGCGGGGTGGGGGGGACCGAGGTCAGGACACAGGTGGGCTTATCCTGCATGTCCAAGAACCAGGGGACTCTTACCTACTCCTGGGGCCCCCTGTCAGACTGGCTCCCTGGGGACTCCATCCCTCAGGGACAACGTAACGTCATCGTATCCCAAATGACTTCGAGGACAGGTGTGGTCCCTAGCCGCTCACACTCAGCAGGCCCCTCTGGCTCCCTCCAGGCCAGCTCTGTGCACATCTGCAGGAGGGCTGGCCTCCCCGCTGAGCCTCCCGAGGCCCCGGGTCACCTGCGCATGGTTCCCAGGGTCAGGAAGCGTATTGTGCCTGCTCCCGTCCCTTTCCGAGCAGGACCGGAATGGAGCTGTGATCCCCTCAGGGTGAGGCCCGGGCCATGCAAAGCTGTCCTCCCGCCCCCGAGACTGGAAGCAGTAGCGTGTGCGGCCAGACCGCCCCTGACTGCCCTTGACCTCCACCTTGCCCTCCACCCCGTCTTGCGTGGGATGGACATGCGGTGCCTCTCCTGTCTGCAGGTCTAGCTCCCCGTGTTCAGCCATGCATCTGGGGGACACCGGTGCTGCCAGCTCAGACTTTTCTCTCTCTCTCTCTCTCTCTCTCTCTCTCTCTCTCTCTCTCTCTCTCTCTCTTAATGTTCGCCCGGGCCACGCTGCAGCGCCCTCTGAGCACGTGCAGGAAGCGCTCTACTGAGAACGTGAGATGACGGCACCGCTCAGCAGGCGTGCTCCTCGGCAGGGGGCCTGACCTTTCCTGGGGCGGCTACTAGAAAGTGAGAGAAGGAGGGAGAAAGGAAGGGACACCCCCCTCCCACCAACACGTAGCTTTCGGGGAAGAGCTCCCCTGCAGAAGAAAGAACCCTCGTCCTCAGAAGTTTCCTGTTTCTATAAAAAGAGCCCGCAGCCCTTTCTCCCCTGATCGGAAGGGCCCGATGACGACAGCAGTGACAGCACGCACCAAGCACACACTGAGCGACAGGCACGGTGGTGTTTACCCAGATTACCCCCCATCCTCCCCCTTCCCCCCAGGCAAGAGCTACCATGAGGGCCGTTTTAGAGGCAGAATGGCAGGCTCCAGAGGTGAACGTCTCCCAGGCCACTCTGCCAATGCAGCCAGGTCACCCGGCAAGGAGGCCCAAGCTGTCCCTCAAAATACAGCCCACGTGCTGGACTCCCCCGCCCCCCCCTCCCCCTCCCCGCCCTCAGACAGAGCATCAGGGCATCCTCTCACCCAGGAGGCCCCACAAAACTCTGTCCAACCTCCCATGCAATCCCGCTGTCATTATGCCCTCGTTAGCAAGGGCACTACAGCACCTCCCCCACTCGGGCCCAATCCCACCAACTAGGATCAGTGGTATTAGCAGCAATGGCAGCTTCCCCCCCTCTCCCCCCCGTCTCTGCCGCTGGTGACGACACCTGAGCTCCTGCTGTATAAATGAAGGGGCGCTTAGAGCACCTCATGGGATCTGAGGGAGCCGAGAACCCTTCCTGGCTCCTTCCCCTTCTAACTGCCTGACCCTAGCAGCTGCCTCACGGTCCAGACAGCCCCGGGCCAAAAGCATTCAATGAAGAGAGGGACCCAGCACAAGGGATTCTGGGATTCCACGAAGCATGCCACCCAGTGCAATCAATTCAGGGATTGTGTGATGCTTCCGGTGCAATGGATCCCGGGATCCCGTGAGGAGGGCTGCCCAGGGCAAGGGGATTCTGTGTTGCCTCAGAAGGCAGACAACTTGGGCTTTTTATCAGGAGCTGACTGCAAAGAAGGTGTGTGTGGGTGTGGGCGTGCATGTGCGTGTGTGTGATGTGAGGGAGGGAAGCATGCAGTGAACAAGAAAGGATTCCATGGGGAAACGATCTTTAGGAAGAAAACAGACAACCGGGCGAGGCTCTGCGGAGGCAGAGCCATGAGAGCGTGCAGAAGCACTGAGAGCACTGGGAGCACTGGGAGCACTGGGCCCCGACGGCTGTTTCTCAGGCTGCGGGGCAGAAGGGGGAGGATGTGACGGGGGTGGGTGAGGGGGGGGTGTTGACAGGGAGTCTGCACTTGGGAGTCCAGAGGCCTGGCTTTGAGGCCTTGGCATGTCTGAGGACTCAGTTTCCCTGCCTCGGTGGGAATGCCAACACCACACTCACTGCCCTGTGCTGAGGGTTAAATTAGTAGCTACTTGTAATCACAGGCTGTAAAAGCACACGCGTGGTTCTCACCCCGGCTGCACATGAGAACAGTCTGGGGAGCTTCTTCAAAACACCAAGGCTGGAGCCAGCCTCGCCATTAGTGTCCTGAAATAACTGGTTTGGGGTGGGGTTCTGATAAGGTATTCTTAAAAACCACCTGGGGAGATCCTAATGTGCAGCCAGGGTTGAGAAACACCGCCAACAAATGGCAGGTGGCATCGCCATTGCTGTCACCACCGCCATCAGGCTATCATCCTCACCATCGTCTGTGCGCTCTGCACGGGTGGCTCCGGGGAGAACTGCCAGCGCCCCGCTCCCAGGGAGCACCCAACACTTCACTCCATTTCTCTCCCAAGTCAGGCTGTGGGTCTGAAGGACCCCTGAGGCATCCGGGGTTTAATGTGACCTTGACCTCCACCCATGCGGGTTGGGGGATGGGGTGGAGGACTGTCAGCTTTCCTTTCCGGAAAGCACCCAAGAAATGCACTCCTCATTCCAAGCACCAAAAGGAGCCCCCAAGGGGAGGAGAAAACCAGTCCAAGGGGAGCAGAAAACCAGTAGCAAAGCTTGGACACTCAGATCCCTCAGGAGGAGGCAGAGGATTCGGTCCCTCAGCCTGCTGGCTGGCTCGATGGCAGGGAATGTGCTCCCGGCCCCCAGCCAGATTCCTTGCAGTGATGGCTTGGTCTAGACAAAACAAGACAGCAATAAAAGCAAGACAGAGGTAATGACTGCCTCTAAATGCAGGTACACCTCGTTGGAGAGGGAGCTGCAGCCATCTGGATAACACCCTGGCTGTAAATACCATCCCATCCCCAGAGGAGCCTGGGGCTGATAAAGAAGGCTTTGTCTCCCAGAGGAGCCTCTGCTGGGAGACACACACACCAGTTTAAGTGAGATCTGGCAGATGTCTTGTCTCACCTCTGAAGGTGTTATTCAGAGAAGAGGTGGGGCGAGGAGTTTGTGGTCCCGGCCTGGCTGGCATTCCTCCTTGCAGGAGGGCCCAAGATACACCCGGGGTTAAACCTCTAAGAACGGGTTCCACTGAACAGAAACTAAGACGAGGTTCCCGGGGGGGGGACATTTGGGTGGTTCGATTCCTGCGGCAGCACCGAGTGTGTGCTGAGCACGGGGGCTAGAGGAGGTGACCCGGGACTTCCCTTGGCTCCTCCGGGGTCCCCCAGCTCCCCCAGAAGCTCCACATCGAGGGACAGGGTCAGAGATGCTAGATGTCTGTGTGGCCTTCCAACCTGGCCAGCCCTCCGCATGCTGCAGTTAACTGGGCCATCCTGCCGGTTTCTGGGTGGGCAAGAATGCCCATACAAGGGCACACTGGCCCCCGCTGACCTCTCCGAGGGGGGTTTGGCTGACGTTTGCTGTGAAAGGCCGGGCAGTAAATATTTTAGGCTTTGTGGGCCGCGCCGTCTCGGTTGCAAACTGCCCCAGTCTGCCACTGCAGCGTGAATGCAGCAGCCACAGACAATGTGTAAACACGCAGGCGGGCCTGGGCTCCATGAAACCTTCCTTACACAAATCCTGGGGCCATGGCTGGGTGCCTCCTCTTCTGAAGGGACATTTCCATTTCCCGTGCTCAGGTTTGGGGGAAAAGAACAAAGAGAGGAAGCGAGAAAGCAGCACATCAGGCCCGAGGCGTTCCTCGGGCCCAGCCGGTCACGGGGACGGGCTCTGGCTCGGCACCTGCCTCTCTAGCCGCGAGCGAGCTGAAGTCCGAACCCTCACCAGCCTCGCTGGGGGTCCCTGGGCGTCAGGCCCTCCTTTATCCGCAGCACCTGGACGCAAGGGTGCCAGGAGCTGCTCAGTACGTACGCGTGTCCTCCTCCCCCTGCCTAAGAGGCAGCTGGAACACAGAGCGCCCAGGGCCCCGTCCGCTTCATCAGATCGGAGAGGTCTCTGCAGCCCAGCAGCCGCTGCTTTTGGGAAATGACCTTCCTGCGCTTTACACAACAGCCTTGGATGCAGAGATGAGGGCTACAACCACGGCCTTCTACAGAAAGAAGGGCCTCAGAACTAGGGTTTGGGCTCCTGTTTCCTGCAAACACGGACAGGGAAGGGCTTATCCCAGCCACTAATGAGCAGGGCAGGAACGGCATGGAGATGGCAGTTGGGGCTGGCATTCTCGGCCCATCCCCTTGGCCAGCCATTTCTCCATCAGACTGATCAGACTGAGCCCCCAAGCGCTCAAGCCATGAACCCCATGAATGCCTGTGGCCTGTCTCCATGATCAGGTAGGTATGGCTTTTAAGAATCCCCACCCCCCCGCCTTTTTCTCTCTCTCTTTTTTTTTTTTTTTAGATTCCCAGCACAGGAAAAGGAAAAGTCCCCCATCCCAGGAGTCTGGCTCAGGGAAAGATGAGAGGGTCAGTGCGAATGTTCCCTCATAACCCCAGCACCCCACCCTGGTGAGGCCCAGTTCGACTCGGACGTTCTGCATTTTTATTGAACTCGGGGATGTCCTCCAAAGCCTTCCACCTGGGATTCAGCCAATCTTCACAGATCGACACTGAGCGTGGCCTTGACTTTTCACTCCCTCCCGAGCAAGCCACGTAGGCCACGATGGCAATGGTTGCTAAGAACGCGTGGTTTCCCCAAACCGTACAGCGTAAAAACACGACGGCAGGTAGCCTGCCTCCTCCGAACGCCCTCCTTCTCCCAGGTTCACGGGAAAGAGCCTGCAGCCCTTTTCTACCTCCCCGCCAGGACGGAGAAAATCAGGGGAGAAACGGAAAGGCACGAACAGAAGAAGGAGGTGGCTGCTGCAGGATTCCTCCCCCGGGTTCCCCTTTCTTTCCTCCCAGGACCAGAAACCCCACTCCAAACACAGGGGCTTCTCTCCACTACTCCATGGGCCCCTCAGACATGTCCCCTCCAGGAGAAGGGCACGCCACCTCCCCTACAACCACAGCAGCTGCCCTGTGACAGGAAGAGCCAGTGCTGGGCAGGAGAACTCGAGCTCCCCTCTCAGGCCCGGCGGGCTGATGGGGGACAGTTAGGAGGTGGGGGCTGGAACAGCCATATCCGCCTCCATCAGGGCAGCTGTCACCATTCTGAAATGACGTGGTGCCACCAAAAGATACCGTATACAACATGAATAATGCATATCCACCAAGTAATGATGCCACTTTCTCCCTTTCCTTCCACAAGTAGACCAGAGAGTTCGTTTCTTGAATCCTCAAAGCCAGTCTTTTCATTCCTGCTTAACGGAGAGGAAAATGCCCCCTAAGATACAGAGGACAAAGGTGCCTGCGTTGGGGTGCCCTGTCCTGGCCACTGTTTTTTCCCAGGCGAACTCCAGGCCTGAGACCAACGGACTTGGGAGTCACGCTCTGCTGTGAACCGAGGACCCAGCCGGACCCCCCAGACCTGGCCCGTCAACTGTGATTCCCTGAGATGTCACGTCTCTTGGTAATTTCCAAATAGGAAACTTACCTCCAAGGACAAATACTTGTTAGCAGGAAGGATTTTTCAAAAGAACTTGCTGAGGGCCATGCCAAAAGAGGGGTGCTGTGAGACCTCTCTGAGTCTGACTAAGGACCAGCATTCACCTGTGTGTGTGAGTCTCCTCCGGGAGCAATCCTGAAGGGACAACCGTGATTCGGCCGTGTACGCCCTGGCGTGCCTGTCTTACGACGGAAAAGAGCAGACACCATGGGGCTCCTAACTCTACCCTCACCTTGAAAACTAAGGCAGGCAGAAGTAAGGGGATGGAAATGCATGCAGCGGGAGGGAAAGAAACACTCAGCTGCCACCCAGACCATGCAGGACTGCCTCTGCACCCCGCTCACTTTGATGAGAAAGGGACGCTGACTTCCACCACCAAGAATCAGCGGAACAGACCAATTCCTGGGGCAACATTGTGTTTGATCCTAACCTATGACGTCTGTAAGATCAAGGCCAAGAAAGCAAAAAAAAAGCAAGGCAGGAGACCTTCATATATGCCTCCCTCTTTCCCCGAAACCCTGAAGACCATCCCCCACCAAAACAATGCCCGGTCTCCTAACACAGCACATCCAGGAAGCAAGCCTGCGGAATTGGAAGCCATTGTGCGGGCTCTCTCCTGAACAGACAGACATTAGGTTTTATTTAGAAAAGAAAAAAAAATTTTTTTTTAAACTGCATCTCAACGTCAAGCAGTTCCGAGTTAACTGCTGTTAAGTGTGTGCCATTTATTTGTCCTGAACTAAAGAGAAGGAAAAAAAAAATGCTAAGAATTTCAAAAACTCACCCAGTTAACAGGCGGGAGCTGGAAAAATACACTCCCCAGACGGCTCTTCTAAGACTGTCCCGTAGGGGGCGCCAGAGAGGCACGGTTAGGGCTGACTTGGGAATCACAGTCATTTCTGGTAAAAGTTCTTTGATGTGAGGAATGTCCCAGCCTGGTACAGTTGGCAACAGTTCACTCCGGGAAATTTTGTGTGTGTGTCTGTCTCCTGGGAAAGGGTGGTTGCTGCAGACGAGAGGTAGTCTGGGATTCCTTGATTCCAAAAAAGAACTGTCCCCCCCACCCCCCACCCCCCACCTTGATTTATTTTCACAAGTTATCTACCGAGCAGACACACGGCAGCCTTGGGAAAGGTCTGGGTCTTGTTTTTGTTTTGGTTTTATTTTTATTTTTTTCATTAAAAGGGGACCCAGCTGATGAAAACAAGTTATGAAATGACCTGTGTTTGTGTAACCGGCGGGATTGCGTAATGCTCAGGGCCTGAAACCGTAATAGTGGAGCAGCCAAGCAGGGCATTTATTTGGGAGGTGTTTTCCTAGGAGAGTCAGGAGAGGAGAGGGAGAGAAAGAGAAAAACAAAACAAAACACAAAACCACACACAACAGCACAAAGAAAAAGCCAGGAAGGGGAGATGTGTGCCATGATCACCGACAGAATAAAAATCACCAATGACCGACCTCAGAGATTCAAACTATAACTGGGACAGGAAATATTTCTCATGCTTCGAGTTCCTGCCATACACAAGAACAGAGGTTTTGACAAAAAAGTTGTCTCCTCTCTCCCCCCCCCCGTACCCTCCCCCTCCCCCCTCGCCCCGCAGCCGGTACACACACACACACACACACACACACACACACCACACACACACACACGACTCTGACCTGTGCTTTAGGAAGCTCGAGAGGAGAGGAAAGTTCTGGGTGGAGTAAACAGCAGCCATATGAGCGCCCCCCCCCCCAAAAACAGAGAGATCAGGAAAAAAGAACGTTCACTTGCCCAGGGGAAAACCAGAGAACAGTGGTTTACAGGCATTGGTCCACTGAGACGCCACAGAGGAGGACGGCCCATCGCTAACTGCCAGCAGTCTCCCCGGAAGGGAAGCTGAGAGAAATAAAGTGATTACAGGGTTTATCTGGGTGCAATAAAGTTACCTGGAGATTGGGTGGGGTCGTGGCGCTGACTTGTTCAGGAACAAAAGCCTTCCAAAGTCAGTTCTTAGGACCATAGAACAGATTTGCTCCAAGGCGGAGAGGTGATGGACCACCCCCAATCCATACCCAACCCCTTAGCCCCCGCCCTAGCCAGGAGTGGACAGGCTGAGAAACTTGTCTAAAGCAGCATTCCCCTGCCAATCCCTCTGCTTTGAAGGCGCCTCGCTCAAGCTGCTGGGCCAAGGGCAGGCGTATAGTCAAGAACCCCGTGCACTAGTTATTACTAATTGCAAAACCCTCATGTGTTACAGCATGCTAGGAATTAGCCAACAGCTGCTTTTTTGCTTCGGTAATGAGGCCCCATTACACTCTGCTGGACCGAGCTCTCTTCCTTCTTCCTAGCACCGGTTTCCTGTCTGATTTTCTTCCAAAACAGGGAATTGCCTCCGCTCACATCCTGGGCTCAAAGCCCTAGTGACACAGATTATTCAATCGGGGCGCTGGTGTCCGGTCTGACTTCCCATGCAGGCCCCAGGGGCTGAGCGGGGCCAGGCGGCAAGGTTGTTGTTATTTCAATGAGGACCGCCACAGCAACAGCAGCCAACCAACAGGCAAGAAATCAAAAGAGCCCCCCCCCCTTCCCAATTCGGGGAGGAGAGGGATGTTTGGGCATCTGTTGGGAGGGAGTGGGCATACCTGACCCCAGCCCCTTGCCTAAGGATGTTTGGATTCCATACAAACCTCTAGCGGGGCTAGAAAGCAAACAACCTCAAACACGTCTGCGATAAGGTTTTAAACTCATCCCCTTGGTGCCCATCACGAAGGGCGCGCTGACTGCACCCTCCATGCACATACCAGGCTCTCTACAGGGGGGGGGGTAAGGGGGGCGCCAGGGGGGGGGGGGGGTAAAGGGAAGACACGGAAAAGCCTTGGTGAGGACTCACCAGGGATGGGGAGCCACTTTGGAGCAAGGCGATTCAGATCCCCAAGGGAACCGTGTTTCCATTTTCTACTCCAGCAGGGTCCCTCGGGCTGAGGCTTCTAGAAGCCAAGGCCACCGCGCCTTCCCAGAGCAACTCTTGGTGCAGTCAGCTTGGCTAGATCCTGACCAGCAGCTTCAGGTTGTAGTGGCCTTTTAAGCCAGCTCCCTCACAAGTCTGGGGGTGTGGGGTGTGGGGGGGAGGGCTGCCGCAGGCACCGCACCAGCACCACCATCCCACCAGCACCTTTCTGGTATTTATGGGCACATAGATCACACGCAGAATCCCTCCAGTGCAAACCAGTCCGGCTGCTTTAGAAGCAAGTTGTTTTCCTGCTTCCAGAACCACCCAGGAGCCTTTTCCCCCACTTCTCTCCGTGGGCGTCCTTGTCCCAGGTGCCTCCGGACCTTCAAGGCGGGGTACCCCTCTGACAGCGGTGCGGGCTCCTGCTCTGATCCTAACCGGAGCGGGATGGGCACGGGGCGCACAGGGGCCAGCCAGAGCCAACCCAGACTCACCTCCTCCTTCCAGACCTTCGCACCTGATTCCCAGAGGGCCCCCCCCCCTCCCAGTGACTAGAAGGAGCCCACTGTCTCTGAGAAATTCACTAAGGCTGGTGGGGCAGAGAGGGAGAGGCGCTCCTGCAGGAGCAGGGGAGAGTACAAAGGTGTTTTGTTTGTTTGTTTGTTTGTTTTGTTTTTTTGTCTGCCAAGGAGAAAGAGGGAAAAGGGGGTGCAGGATTCCCGGGAGAGGAAGTAAGGAGTAGGTAACAGGCTTGGTGCTGTCCCGGTAGGATGTAGCGTGAAGGAAAAGGTTTGCCGGCTTCCAAACCCATTCCTCGCTCCAGTTTTTTTTTCTTTTTCTTTTTTTTTTAAGAGAAAAGTGATGGGGATGGGCAGGACCGGACGAAAAGCCAGCACTCACAGTGGTGGCCCACAGAAAAATTCTCGCCAAGCCAAGACAGGGAGAAAAGAAAAGCCAAAGAGGCAGAGGCGGCGGCGAGCGGAGGGCATGGGGGTCCGCCCGCCCGCCCGCGCCGCCAGGTGCACCCCGGCGCCCCGCACCTACCTGCTGGCTGCCGCCGCCGCTGGGGTAGGACTCGGCGTGCGCAGGAGAGCCACTGCTGCCCCGGGACGAGGTGTCAAAGTTCCCGGGATAATCCTGGTACATGATCCGCGGTGGGGGCCCCAGAGGAAACAGCGTGTTTTTCTTTCCCCGCCCTGGCCGCAGCGGCGGCGGCGGCGCTCCGGCTGCTGCGCGCTCGCTCGCTCCCTGCGGGCTGCGCCCGGGCTGAAGTCTCCGCTCCCGGTGCTCTCCCGCGGCGGCGGCACGAACCCGGGAACAGTGGCCCCTGAGCGCCGAGCGCGGCACTTCTTTCCTGCTCGACCGGCGCCGGGACCGGTCCCTCCCTCCCTCGGTCCCTCCCCTGCGCGCGCCCTCCCGCCCCCGCGCGCAGCCGGAGCCCGGACCGCCGCGCCGCCGGTTCTATCAAAAATGGGCAATTAGAAAAGAATGGGAGCCCGGTCTGCGGACCCCCGATGTCGGGCAGGGCAAAAATCAGGCGACAAGGAAGGCTGCCCGCTCCGAGGAGAAACTTCTGTTTCCTCCTTTTTTAGAAAAGACACTGAAAATAAACTTCCTGTGGCCAACGCGCCGCCGCCGCCGGAGTATCGCAGCGGCTCGGACACTGGGTTCGGAGAAGGCAGCCCAGCCTGCGCCCCGTCGCGTCGTAGCCGGTGGGATCCCAGCTGAGAGGCAAGCGCCCCGCTCCCGGCACCGCCGCGACTCGGGCGGCTGGACCCGCACCCCTTCCCGGGCGCCCGCTCCCGGCCCGGCCCGCTGCGCCCGCCGCGTCTCTCTCTCCCCCGCGGTCCCCGCCGAGCGCCGCTCGCTGGCTCGCCGGTTCGCTCGCTCGGAGCCCCTGTGCTCTGCCCGAGATGAGTCACTACAATGGCACGAGTTCAACTCCACAGTCTTTATTCTCCAGCCCCTGTACCATGTGGATTCACTCACGTCAACCTCGCTGGGAGGAGCGCGCGGGGAGGCGGGGGCAGGAGGCCCGGGAGGAGGGGGAGGAGGAGGAGGAGGCGCGCGAGGGGGGCGGGCGCTGCACTCCCCTCCCCGCCCGCCCGTCCTCCCGGCGGCGCTGACGCCAGCAGCTCGCCCCGCGCGGGGAAGGAAGGTGGTGGCGGGGGTGCAAGCGGCCGGCCCCCGCGGTTTGGGGGAGCCGCAGCCGCCCCAGCGCGCCCCCGCACACCCCTCCCCGGCTTGGCGCCCTTGGTCTGTTCCATTGGCGCAGGTTGCCAAAGATGGTCACTTGCGTTAGACGACGCGAGTGCGGGTTCCCTCGCTTTCGGGTGACGTGTAGGGACAGGGATTCCCTCTCGGGCTCCGGAGAGCGCCGCCAGTCCCCCCTCCACCCCCCGCCACCCCAAGTTCTCTGGGCCTCGGCGCCGGGTTTGGGAGAATAATCACAGTCCTGGAGGGCGAGACAGGCGGCTCCGTGCGGCGCCAACGCCGGGCCGAGCGCCGGGCGCGGAGAGCAGCTCGCGGGGAGGGCGCGGCCGCGCGTGGTCGCCGGCGCCCTCTGCGGCGCCCCGGGCACCCGGGCACCGCGCCGCCCTGCGGCCGGGCTGGGCAGGGCTCGGCGCCGCCGGGCGGGGCCGGCCTGTTTGCCTAATTTTCCCTTCGGTGGCCGGCTGTACCCTGCTGCCTCAGCCCCCCATCTCTCTCTCTTTCTCTCCAATTAATTTCATAGGACTCGCCTAGAAGACGAAATTAATCAAGTTCAAGACATCTCGACCGCCCTCTAAGCCAGGGCAGTTGGAATGCAGCTAATAGGGGCAATCGGGCATTAAAAGCAAACTCCAGGCTGTTAGAAATTAAAGCACACGCGCGCACACACACCTATATATACACACTCTCACACACACACACACACATACACATACACTCACACTTACACACACACACACACCAACAACCATGATAAACAGGGAAGGGGCCTGGGAGGAGGTGTGGGCGAGCACTGTCTGCAGCTGTTTTGGAGCGAAGTTCAAGGAGCAAAGTAGTCAGACTCCTAGGTCTTCCCGCCTCGTTGGGAAGGGGCGAGGTTCGGGGTAAAGGGCACAGGCCTCGGAGCCCCGGAGCCGGGCTGTGCTGTCTGGGAGCTGTTGGACTGGCTTCAGGAGAGCCCCTCTCCTGAGACCTCTGGGCCTCAGTTTCTCCTATAAAATGAAGGGCTTGAGACAGGTGCCCTTCTAAGGCCCCTGTCCACACTGGAACCTAAACCTTCCTGCAGGGGTGAGCCGGAGGAGCACTGTACCAGGAGTCCAGGGGCTCGGATCTGGCTGGTCCAGGCTCTGCTTTAGCCTCAGTTTACCCAGCTCTCCAGGGGCGCCACTTTCACCCCCACAGATCCCTGCGAGGACCGCACGGGGAGGTGCGCGGGGACGATGACGCGTCGTGCCCTGGAACACATCACGGTTCCGGCCCCTCAGTTTCCTTATCTGTAAAGTGGGGGTGTTGCTAGGAAAGAAAATAGAGCCGGGAACTCAGAGCCCTCCCGGGGGCCCTCTATATAAAGCGCTGGCGTTTCCGGGACGGCTGGCGGCATCTGGCCGCCCCAGTGGCCCCGAGATACGGTAATCCCAAACAATAGTCGGGGTCATTGTTTACAGTTATAAAACACATTCTGTCCCGAGCGCCATCCCCAAGGACGATCGCGGGGAGGCGAGGCGAGCCAGACTCCCCGATCTCCCGTGACTGCCGGGGCGGGGTCCCCCGCTCGGTGGCGGGGCGCGGGGGACACGGGGAACGCGTTGGCCGCGGGGTTTCGGGGGGAGGGGGGGTAGGTGTGTGTGTCTTCAAATCCCTGAGCTCCGCCTGCCAGGCTGTTTACGTGCCTCTCCCAGCAGGACTGAGTAAATGCAGTCCTTTGACGCAAAACCAATCAACCCTCTCCCCAGCGGCAGCGGCAGAACCCAGAAAACCGGGGGTGGGGACCGTGTGGGAGGGCGCTGCCGAAGAAATCGTGACACTTTCTCATTCCTCCCCTCCCTCTCTCTCTCTGCCCTTTCCCGCCCGCGCCTCGCGGGCCCAGGCAGCCTCTGCGAAGTCAGAGGGGAGGGAGGGGGAGCGGGTCGGCAGAGGGAGGCGCAATCCCGGCGTCCAGGGCTCCCCAGAGTGCAGCCGCCTGGCCAAGAGGCGCGAACCAGATGCACTTTTCGTTTTCTTTTGGCCTGCAGAGGCCGCCCGGCCCTCCCCGGCCCCTCACTCCAAAATCCGGGTGCTTCTGGGTCTCTCCCACACACACAGCCCTTCCTTCCAGTAACGCGGGGGAGAGGAGGAGGGGAAAGGCAGCGGGAGCGGCCTCGGGCGCGCCCAAGCCCGGCCGGCGCCGCCGGGAGCGCGCGGGCGGGAGAGCGCACCGGCGCGCCCTCGCCGCCCCCGCCCTGCCGGTCCCCGGCCCTTTCCTTTCTTGTGGGTTCCCGTAAAGCCCGGCCGCCCCGAGAAGTCTGCAGAGCATCACGGAATCTGTGCTGATGCAAGTCGCCAGCCTCCCTTGGCTGCGCCCCGGCCTGCCTTGGAGCGCTTTGATCCCGGCCTTCCCCTGCTCCAGACCTCGTGCTGCCTCCTGCAGCTTGCCCTCGCCTTGCAGGCCTCCGAGGGCCGGACGCACAGAGCTGAGCCCCGGTGCTGCGGGGGCTGAGCGGCGCTGGTCTGGCCCAAGGGTGTCTGCCAGATCTCCAGTCCAGCTTCCCTCTGTGGGGGATCAGGGCGGGATCGCCCCAGTGCGAAGGGGTCCCCTGGCTCCCCGGAATAACATAATAAGAGGAGCAGAGGCCAGCCTTCCCTGAGAGCTTACCAAGAGGCACCAGGCTGAACACTGTGCAGGGACTGGCTCAGGCAGTCCTGCCAGCAAACCTTTGAGGGGAGTGTTATTCCTGGTCAAAGATCAAGAAAGTGAGGTGAAGGCATTTGCCCGGGAGAACTGATGAGTGGGCTAGTGATCCGGTTGGAAGAGCCGCTGGGCCTCCATGACATTGCAGGACCCGCCTGCCCCTGGCAGCCTCTGTTTCTCTTACTGGTCTCCAGCAAGCATGGACTTCACCCGGTTGGTCCATGGCTTTGTCATGCACCTAATTCTCTGCTGAATAAACAGTCTTGCACCCATCAGTCACTCAGCCTAAGGAAAGCTCACATCAAGGGAGGGAAGGGGTGAGGGGCAGGAATCGTGTTTTCTCATTTTTGTCTCTGGATCTCTGGGGCCTCCGTGCCTGCATTTGCCAGCTTCCTCCTTTGTCCCGCCAGCCCAATTGGTGGCTCCTGACTAGAACCCCAGAATGGCCGCCTCCCTGGGACTGCCCTGGCCCACATGTCCGAAGGCTGGATAATTCATGAAGCCCTTCCACAGCTGTGGCCTCGCTTGTCCTCACAACACCCTGGTCGGTTGGAGTGACTCTGGATTGCCAAAGAGGAGGCTGAGCAAACAGAGTGGCAAGGCAGCCTTCTCAAGGTCCCCCAGCCTGTGGGTGTCAGAGCCTGAACTCAGACCCAGCTCACCTGACTTTGCATGCAGGCTGCCCCTGCAACCAGCCTGGGCAGGTTAGAAGCAAACCCTTAACCATCGACAGTCCTCTACCCACCACACCTGAGCGAACCTGCCGTCCTTTCTCCATAGTAAGCCATACGCTTTCATGGCGTTTTAATCTCTCTGAAAGCCGGGGGCCCCTGATCATCAGTGACTATTTAATATGGAGGCGTTTCTGTTTGTCCAGAAACCTCTGGATTCGTCCGGAGTCCTGATACAGACTTCAGCCCAGTGGTTCAAAGGGAGAGGCTTTGAGGGAGAAGCTCCGGACTGAGGTGTGGGCAGGACTAAGACAGCACCTGGAGGACCTGTGACACTCAGAGCCTCACAGCAGCTGGAAGCTGTGGCTCAGGGGAGAGCACAGCGATGTAAGAGCCCTGTGTGCACGGGAGCCATGACCGAGGACCAGGCGGCAGGAGGGAAAGGCAGCCACTGCGGGAGAGAGAGCTGAAGGGGAGGAGCAAAGGGATGCAGGCCCGTCTCTCCCACCTCCTCCCCCATCTCTGGTCAGTGGCCGTCCAGGGAGGTCAGCCTCTGAGCGCACAGAGAAGGGCGAGGAAGGGTGTGGAGAGTGGGTCTTGTGGTGGAGGGGGAAGGCACACACTCGGCAAATGGGAGATGACCAGCATAGATGCTATTAAATCCCGGTGTATCTCCTCATGGGGAAATACAGTCCATCAGGGAGTCTCCCACGTCATCCCGAGTGGGGGTGGGCATTAAAACAATGGCTTTCTCAGACTGGGCCTCCCCTCTCTTTAAACGGCGCGGATACACCCAGCCACTAATCCAGGGCAATGGGTTGTGTCCCTCTGGTGTGGGGAGCAGAAAAAAGAGAGATGCTGATCAAGAGAGATGAGCATCTGGGGAACACCGCTGGGTGGATAAGCAGTGTTCCCTCCCTCCCTCCCCTGTGGCCTTCCTCAGCCTCCTCTACATCCCAAGGGCACCCTCCCAGCTGAGGTGCTCTGAGACCTGGCATGTACCTTTGCCCACCATGATTCCCATTACTAGTGATTCCCATTGCTGGTATGGGGTATACACCAACGAGAAGAAATGAAAACGGGGCCGTCAAGATACTATTGCTTTAGAGGCGGTCGTCATGGTAATATTAATGCGAATGATCTGCATCTGGCTGGTGATTACACGGGTATGAATTTAAAAAAATCCAACAAGCTCACCCCTCAGATGAGGGCACTTTATTGACTTTTGCTGTGCGTTAGAAAACAACAACGAAAACCATTGAGCTCCCTTCGATTACGTTCAGGAGTATACTGCAGCTTGTGCAACACTTCTCAGAAAGCATATATGCAAATGAGGCCTTCCTGGCCACCAGCTTGCAGCTCTGTAGACTCTGAGCAGTCGTTGCCCTAGAAAGACTCAGGCAGGAACAGGGTTATTCCTGTGGTGTGTGTG